CCACACTTGTTTGAATTTCTCTTGTTGTTGTTGGGGCCACACTTGTTAGAATTCTTGTAGTTGTTGGAGCCATAGTTGTTGTAGCTGTATGAGAATAAAAAAAACATTTTCTCAGTTAGAAAGGAAATTTAGTTTTTTAGTAAATTCTTAAATTTCTAATTAGAATTGTCATGTCAAAAGTGAATAAAAATTAATTGTGAAGATAAAGAAAGAGGTCAATTTAACTATAAAAACACAAAAAAAAAATTTATTTTCAAGTGATTTTGATTGTTAGAGTCAAATATATAATAAGCCTCAATTCTTTTCTCATTTTTTTTCGAGAACTGAATTGAGTACCTCATCCTTTGTTAGTGTAGAAAACGGCAGCTGCCTTCTAACAAAAAATGACTCATTTTCTTGAATGACGGATTTCGGCGAGAATTAGTACAGTAATATACTACGTTACAATTATTTAAGGCTCCATTTCTTTTATTTGGAATAATTATTTACCTAGTATGGGCGCTTTTGTTGTGTCGGCTATTAAAACAGCTGGCATTTCAGTACAGTAGCGTAATTCGCAGGATGGAGGTGCATCTAATCGATAAACGTAATAAGATCCACAATTAGTCACACTAATACTAATGTCCCAATTGCAATTGTCAGAATCCCAATTAAAGCATACAGTTCCGTTTTTAGTTGTATTCGGGTTAGTGGGCATTTGTCCTGCATACCAACCTGGTGCGTCGGCATTACATCGATAGATTGGAACTGACCTTGTCGGTATCTGAGTACCACCTACACCAACAAAACGAACCCACTTTGCACCAGAATTGAAAAAAGATTGATCACAATTTCCACTAGTGGTTACATTCACGCTTCTTGTAGTATCATTAATCAGTGTATAACTGTTACATTGAGGAGCGACTGTAATTGCGCCTGACGTTGTAACTAAATAGAAAGGAAATAGTATTCAGATATAAAAACAAATTAGTCTATTATGAAGAATAGATATGTGACAGTTGTCAGTTCCTTTTTTTGAGAACTGAATTCAATTATCTTTTCTCTTCTTATATGAATTACCATAAAGATTTTCAACATTCACTTTATATTGATAGAATTAGAAGAAACAAAAATTGAATCAGTCATAATAATAGTTAATTCGCAAAAATATGTGGTGAAAAGAATCTTTTGGAAAGACAATTATATTTAGTGATTCTTGCATATTGAAAACAATTTATTACGAGAAATAAACTACGGAGAAATAGTGCATTCTTGTACTTGAAGTTATTTTTACCTATTTTGAAGAGTATCTCTATGATTCAAATTCAACTTTTAAAATTACGCTAGCTCTTTTAAATATAACATTGAATAAGTATTCAATTGTTCTAATTAGTTATCTTTCTATAAAGATATATTCCATCTATACAACATACATAGGTAGAATATGCTTGCAAATGAGAATGGGATAAAGCTGGAAATACCTACATTCTCATAAATTATATTTATATAAAAATTTATCTTTATCTATTCGTTTTGATCAATAGAAAAATATTTTTTTAATAGTTTTCTATGGATTGTCAAATAGATGTTGTGCATTAGAATGTAAAGTTACATTCGAATTTGAATTAGACAATTGGTTAGTCTAGGATATGGATGAAGACATTAATATGGTCTACATCCACACCTTCACAAATATTGAGACATAGTTTTAATAAATTACACCAAATTTATTGTCTACTTACCTAATATTTGTGCAATAATCATTAAAATTATCCATATACTCAAATTATCAATTAATACCATTATGAATAAATGAACTCCTGTTCGTTTTCACCTTATTCAATAAAAGATGATTAGTCAAAATAAAATAATTCTACCAATTTACTCGATCGAAGAAGTAGAAATGAAGTAAAACTAATGATTTTTTTTGTCCTGTATATTTTCCTTACTTTCCACCTACTCTTGCATCTTCTTACTTGCATCTTATGA